TTAACCCTAATAGTATTTGGATGTTTAGCTACAGTGCCCTTAGATCCATCTAGAAACACATTAAATGGATATTGAAGAGTGGGGAGACAAGAAGAAAGAAAATGAAAAAGAGAAACAACGACAAAGAGAAAAAAAAGACGAAAAAATGAAAATAATTGTAATTATTGTTTTTCTTTTAAAAAACAAACAAACAAACAAACAAAAATTTTTAAAAACCAAAAAAATAGAAAACTGTGCGGCGTGCTAGCGCACTGTGCGAAATGACTAGTTTGCAGGAACCATGAGGAATCCTCTTCTGAAGGAAGGCCTCAACTCTCCTGCCTGGGCGGAAGGACCAGAGGGGATTATTAAGGTGGAGCCGAGAGCAAGAGAAAAACTTTACCTTTAAAAAAATCATAAAAAGGAAAAATTACAAAAAAATGAGAAGACAGAAGCAGAGAGAGACAAAGACAGAGACACAGAGACAGAGATAGAAGGCCAGAGCTGGGGGCTCCCTACCACGCTAGCTTTGTTTGCTGGAGGCTGAATTATCAGTAGAAAGTCTTCATTTCTCCTGTCCCCTGAAATGACTGGTTTGCAGGAGCCATGAGGAATCCTCTTCTGAAGGAAGGCCTCAACTCTCCTGCCATGCTAGCTTTGTTTGCTGGTGGCTGAATTATCAGTAAAAAGTCTTCATTTCTCCTGTCCCCTGAAATGACTAGTTTGCAGGAGCCATGAGGAATGGTTGATAATATATTGTACATGTTATTTTGCAACTACCTTTCGCATAGTCTAAAAATCTTTCTATAAGCACACATACTTAACTGCCTCATAGTAATAGTTTCACAGTATGCCTGAGGGATGTATTAATATGATTAATATATTTAACTAGACTTTTAACATATTCATGTGCAAGCATACTTCATTCTTATATATCTGTATGATAAATATAAATGCAAATATTAGATCAAAGAAGTGTGCGTATTTTTTAAATTTGGATATACAATTTACAAATGCTCTTCCTCCCACAAGGTTTGTTTTTTTTTTAATTTTCATTGTGCTAGCAATGTTTGAAAAGGATTTTGGTAAGTATAGTATTGCCAAATTGCCTTTTGTGGCGGTTTTACCAATTTTCTCTCTCATCAGCAATATATAAAAAGGACCTGTTTGATACACTTACACAATGTTATCGAACATTTAGATTTTTGACAGTCTGATACTGTAAATGGTATCTTATTGCAATTAATTTTTTTTATTATTATGGGTAAGGTTGAGTATCTTTTAATATGTTTAAGCAGCAGT